CTCTTGTCTAATAGCTTAACTAGATTTCCTACACTCTCTTTATCCTGTGAGGACAGAGTGGACAAGTAAGCCCTTAGATAGACAAGTTGATATGCAAAAGGTGAGGACAGAGTGGCTTGCCTGGATATCTAAGGTAGTAAAATTGACTAAACCAAAATCTTCAACTACATCGCAAAGCTCCTTAGTGAGCTTTCTGCAACAACAATAGAATAATTTCAGAAATCATACCAAAGAGTGTTCATACAAGTTCTCACATCACCAATTATTTTTCCACACGAATGGTATAAACAACAATAAGACCTGTGTCCGGACAATTTATAAGCACTTGTGAAGCTTTGCAAACTAATCCATGTTCCAGAAAATAGAGAAAATACTGAGTAGGCATTTCTATCACAATAGATTATGCCGAGACAAAATGGAATTTGTGATCATAAAAGGTAACTATCATTTTGGAAGGGAAATTTTTGAGGATAGATCAATAAAAAAAAAAAAATACCAATATCATTTTGTAAGACAGGTAATACAGTGAGGAAGCAAAGGTCAATGCTCTAATTAGATAGAAGAATAATGACAGACTGAAACTAAATATATCAGTTATACTTCAATTAACCATTAATTGTAAAGTGAAAAGATCCAAAATTTGGATAAATGGTTGTCAACATCAAAAACCTGTACTTGGCAGAGCGAGGATCTTGGTCAAGATGATGTTGTAGGTATGATAAATCTTGCACATCCGTATAGAAGTCAAGATTAAAAGCTGTAAGAATAAAAAAGAATAAGCAGCAATTACAACTACCAACGTGATCAACCTTCTCACGAACATAAACACCAAAACATACCTAGCCTTCCATAGTTCTCAATTAAATCGATCTTAGATAAGACATTAACATGTGGGAGCTCCAGATGCAACATGGTTGATAGAGAGAGCAGCAGTGCACTAACATACTTTCCAGGGTCACTGCAAAGATGAGCATCAACTAAATGCACTGCAGTCAACTGTAGAAGAAGGAAAATCTTATTAAGATGTTTTTTTAGTAGCATTTTGTAACAAGCTAGGGTCCATTTGATAACAATGTCATTCTGATTTTCTGTTTCTATAGTTTAGGCTTGATCGCCAATAATTTATTTGTTCTGAGAGAGTGAGATAGAGATCAGCTTATTTTCAAATGACAGAAAAGCAGAAACACAATGTTATCGAATGGACCCTAAGAATTTTATTCTTTTGAAGGAAAGGTTCAAATATACATATTTCTCCAGAAGTCCGTACCCTCAGATTCAAATTCTTGATGAGTTTCATTATAACATTCTTGGCATTGGAGTGTAGGGAAAATAATTCAACTTGTCCTGGAAAGTCGAATAGGAGATAGTGATCTGCAAAATTTGATAGTATCATCAGGTGGAGTGGAATTCTGAAAATTCTGAGCCAAGAAACTGATGAATATCGTAAACCAGCGGAAGGGAAAAGTCTAATCACTAGACAGATAAACGCAGAGTTCAAAATACAACAGATACCAGCACAAAACGACACATCATGTATCAGAAGTGGTGATTAGAAAAATTAAGGATGCTACGAGATGATAAGGATCTAGACACAAACGCAACCAATATTCCAGATTCTAAATCCTTCAACAAATATGAACACCTAGAAACAATTAAACAAGAAAATGTATTACTAATAAAGATAAACAAGAAATAATAATTCATACGCAAAAAAACATAATCAAAATTCATATATAACGATATCGATGCTCAAGCTTAATTGTTCCCAATACATCTTTCAGAATCTCATACGCAAAAAAACATAATCAAAATTCATATATAACATCATATAAACAGTTTTCATCAATATTTTCACCAGAACTTAAGGAAGGTGGGAAATAGATTGATCAACCAGTAGTGAGGGGAAAACCAACCTCGCAAAAGGGGTGCCAATCTACCTTGCAACCAATCTATATTTTTCTCCAGATAATCCATGCAATAAACCAAGCCTGTAAAACATATAAATATGTAATTCCAACAAAGATATTGAAAAATGAACTATGTTGGTCTAATATATTAATGACAAAAGGTTTTTCATACAAGACAAGATTCTCTATAGTCCATATCATCTTCTAGTGGTCTTTTCTATCTCTCATCTATAACTTGTGCAAAGATAAAATTTCAGTTAATTTCCATTTACAGATCTCATCTCTTACGGAATCGATCCCCTTTTGACTGTACAAGTCTTACACGAGGATAATAAGGTTTTACCCATCATCCATTAATTAGAGATTTAGGAACCTGGCATAATAATTTTAGAAGACAGAGATAAACAAAGACTTTGGAATGCCTACCTCCATTAGGACCAAGAGAGTGTTCCATCATCACATCACTTAGCTTGATCAGATCCTCAATGTTTACAGCACATTCGTAGCTATATTTATGTCAAGGATACCTTTCACTTGAAATTCAGCCAAATGAACTCTTGTAATACACATATATTGAGACTCAAAAAAACAGAAGATTGAAAAGAAAGGCCATTAGCAAGGATACGGCAACGAGTCATTAGCAGGATCCAAGTTGATGACAGCAACCTTTCTACACACAAGCAAGAAGATGTCATTGACTAATTGAACGAGATGGGCACATTATTTATTATTTAAAAAAAAAACGAATTTCACAAAAGCAAATACAAGCTCTTTGGAGAGGATTTGTAACATATAAGGATTTCTAGAGCTCGTCAGACACCAGAAGCTTTCAATTAATATGCTAAATAAAAATTTTAACAATAGCATTACTCCTTCAAAGCAACAATCCAACATCTCAATGCCCATCAGCATGTAAGACTTCGCTCTAGTAGAAAATCCGCTAATGCACGATATGAAAAGGGATGGCAACATAAGAACTTCACAAAGAAAAATCAACTCTTGCCTACTTCCTTCAAGGTATGCAATCAATTACCAAGAGCAGTGAAATCACTTAAGATAGATGCTACTAGTTCTGCTATATAGAAAGAAAAGTGAAAATATAAAAAATAAAAAAGATCAAGAGCCAGTTTTCAAACTGGAAAATCAAAGTAAAACATCCAAATTCTGAAGCTCAATCGTCACCCGTCTACCTAAACGATCGTATAATGACTTGTGTCAAGAAAATTATATAAATTTCAAATTCCTCTATTTCCATTCTTCAACCAATCGCATTGTATATTTGGCTTGCTTACACGGATTTAACTAGTATCAGTTCAAAATCCCAAAAAACCCGTGAATTGTTCGAAATAGATAAACTAGCGTCACACTCGGATTGAATTAAACGAACAACGAGTCACCATGAAACTTTCCACCAAGGGTTTAAAATTCAATCAGACCCGGGGTTTAGCTAACTGAGAAGATGCAGAAGGGGGGGGGGGGGG